TGTGAGAAATTTTTCCGAGATTATGGTTCCCATGCTTATATAGGACCACTTCACTTTGGAGGAAGGTACTCATGGAAAAGCTACTCCTCAGGTTTCAAAGAATCCGAAAAAAGCACTGTGCAGGAGCTGCAAAGTGAAGCAATCTCAGTCCAAGTCAGCATGTCATACAGTGGCATAGCTGGAGCATCAGCCACAACTAGCGTCTCCAGTATGGAAGGTAGTTTGAAAGGGAAGTACTCAGAAGTTCTGAAAAGCCAAACATTTGTGGAAGTCAGCAAATATGGTGGGCCTCCAGAGGCAACAGGCCTGCCAGACTGGAAGAATGGATTGGTAGCAAGTAATAGCACATGGTTCTTGATTGATCGTGGTACATGGATAATGGCAGTTTGGGAAATAATTGAGCTGAATCATGCCAGTTCTTTCGAAAATTGCTCATTCTTTGCAGAGAAACTTAAGCAAGCCTGGCAAAAGTTGAATAAAACGGATGAATTACAAAGAATGGCTTTGACCACAGAATTTCAGAGTGTGATGGATGCTGTAGCATACTGGAATGCAAATCGCGATCCAACTCAGTTTTCAACCCAACTCGATCAGTTGGTGACACACAAAAAGAAGGTAGCAAAGAAGTTCTTGAAACCACAAGTGTGGGCAACCGAGTATTTATCACAGGAAGTGTTGCAGAAATTTTTGAGGTCTGTAGTTGAACATTGCCTTAATGATGCTGGTAATGAATCTTGTTCACTCAAGTGGCACCTGCAAGAACTCGTTGAACGTATTGACCTCGGTATTACAAGGGTTTTCCCCAATCAACAAAATGTCATAGAGTGGCTTTACAATACTAAAGAATCAGTTCCTCCTATGGAGTGCAAAGACTTCCTAAGTTTGAGTGATTTTTTCAAACTTGCACTAGAGTGCATGCCTAGCAAGATGCTAAAATGTCAGCGGATGATGGCTACTGCTGTTTCGACTGACTGTTTGATTAAGGCAACTGCAGTTATAGCTGAAGCCACCTACTGTTTGAGAAGTCACCTCCAAACAAGTGGTCAAAAGTATGAAGATCTATTTACTACAACAATGCTTTATCCATTCAAATACATTCCTTCAAAGTACCGTTTTTCAGTTTTACTGTCATCGAGTGATTTGAAATACCTCTGCGAAAACTTTGATCGTTATGTCAACGAATATTTCGGTGTAAAAGCAAAATATTCTTTGCTTAATCTGCAGTCTCACTTGTTTTTACTGACTGCAACACTCTATGACTACTTCGATGTAAATGAAGAACACGTCATACGTCACATAAAGTACATGGAGCGTGAAATTGGTGGAGAAATAGAACAGGAACTTTCACGTATCCTAGTTGAACTCAAACTAAAGGAGTCTGGATGTGACTGGGAGTTATTTAGGAATCAACTGGAGTCTCTAGCCCAAGATATTCTCTCAAAACCTGAAGATGGAAGGGTGCTAATAGAAGTCTTAGAACAGGGGAAAGAACAAGGGAAAGCTTCAAACCTTAGAAGACAAGAATCGCAGAGCCTTCTTCAGGGAAACAAAGAAGTAGAAAATCTTTTCTTGAAATTGCATCTCACAAAAGAATACCCTCAAAAGCTTTCCCTCTCCCATGCCCTAGCAATCAGAGAAGACACTCTAGAAGTCTCAAAGAAACATGAAGCTGAAGAAGGAAATGATGATGAAGATGGAAAAGATGATGAAGATGGAAATGATGACGAAGATGGAATTGATGATGAAGAGATAGAGATGGATACACTACATTGCGATCCACAGATGTATCCGTTTCATATACTTCAGAAGATCATGTGTGTTGATCACCGATGTAGGATGCCATTGGCATCAGATTTGGATAGTTCAGATGAAGCTATGGTGCACCCAATGGATGGTCTTCTTGCTCTTCTACACTGCTCCGATGACTTCCTTCGCAAAGATCTCTTGAGTAGACTTGCCACGTGTCAATTAGCTATTCCTGCACTCATTCCACATCCCATGACTCGTAAACCTACGTTTCTTCTGTGGGCAATGAGGTCAATAATAAAGGAATTTCGAAATCACAATGGCAATGTTTCGTATGCAGGCCCTATAGTTCACTATCCTGCTCCTATTGTGTCATTTCTGCGTTTGGGTACACACTCTGTCTCCAAATCAAAACTTCTCAATACAGTCATGAGCACCACCAATCATCCGACTTACTTTCACTATGACTGTGCCGGAGGCAGAGCAAAAAGGGTGCTAGTCGAAGGACTTGTCGAAATGAGCTGGTATATCCCCTCAAAGAACGACAAACGTCTTCATGATGCTGTCACATTTGCTAATCTGCATGGTGATGCTAGCAAATATCCTGAACAAGTAAATTTCCTCAGTGCAGTTAGTTGCATGCACTTTGTCCTCCTTAATGAAGGTGGATTGAAGGAAGACATATTTTCCATACTTAAACAGCTCTCTAAAGCACCTGGAGGTATAGTCATTCTTCAAACCCGAGCCTCGCCTAGTCTGGAGCCAAGACTGAAGCAGTCAATACCACAAGAAATGAGCATTATAAGGCTCTTCACCATGAATGAATATCGTAGGAAAGTGGAGATACTGAAAATGATCAAAGGTAAATTGATGCACAACCTTAAACTTACGCTTGAGGATTGTAAACGTGTTGCTTCTGACTGTGGTATCGAAGTAGATGAAGCTGGACCAGAATGCAGTAAAGGAAAGGAACTAGCAGATGAATTTCACCAAATAATAGCTGACTTGAAGAAATCTAATCCTGATGAAAGCCCAAAGAAGGTGTTGGTCCTGCAAAGCAAGGCTCTCTGGCACAAATATGGTGAATACGATAAAGAACAATATCGGCAAACTCTAAAAGGACATATGTCAATGTATGAGTATTCTGGTTTGCTGCAAAAGAAAATGAACCAAATCCGCCAACGCCAGAATGACAAATCGCAGAAGCTAAACCAATTAATGTCATCATTCCTGACTTCTCTACTGACCACAGAGGGGAGGGTTACCTGGTACTACTTGCACTGGCTAAAAATATATCTGGATAACCTTTCAAGACAGCTGTTACCACCACTTCACACCAAATACGAACAAAAGAGGAAAGAATTGAATGATATCCAAAAGCAAGGGAAGAAGAGTAAAAATGCAGAAGACATATGTCGATCTCAAATGAATGAGTTAAACCTGCAAATACTAGATGCCTCTTTTGGACCAGAGCACATGTTTCGTGAAATTGGTCAATTGTATGGGGCAGTAATGTCCCAAACCCAAAAGGATGCACCAGAGAAATTACAGAGGAATATATCTCGACTTCCTCAAATAGCAGCTCAGCTTTTGGTTGATGGATTCCCACTGGAACTGATGGATGGAGATGCTGCGCATGTACCAATAGATTGGGTTTCTAGTGTCTTGGAAAAGTTATCAGAAATTCTTGAACAGAAAAATGGTGGCACCTCCACCCCACAATTGTTTGTACTGTCTGTTCTGGGGCTACAGAGCACAGGAAAATCAACCATGTTGAACACAATCTTTGGAGTTCAGTTCAGTGTGAGTGCAGGAAGATGCACTCGTGGTGCCTTTATGCAGCTGCTTCCAATTCATGAGTCCTTACAGGAGAAGTGTGGATTTCAGTACTTTCTCATCGTTGACACAGAAGGTTTACGTGCCCCAGAGCTTGATGCACTGAAAAGGCAAAGACATGACAATGAGCTGGCAACATTTGTCATTGGATTAGCAAATCTCACCATCATTAATATCAAAGGTGAGATTTCAGGAGATATGGATGATGTACTACAAACAACTGTTCACGCATTCCTAAGAATGAACGAAGTCAAGCTGAGACCTAGCTGCCACTTTGTGCATCAAAATGTGCCTGCTGTTGCAGCCGATGAAAAAGCAATGCAAGGTCGTTTTCAAATAAAGGATAAATTGGACGCAATGACAAGAAAGGCAGCTGAGCAAGCAGGATTAGTTGCCAACTTATTCTGTGATGTTATTACATTTGATTATGAGCATGACGTTTCTTTTTTTCCTGATCTGTGGACAGGAAGACCGCCAATGGCCCATGTTAGTGAATTTTACAGCATTGAAGCTCAGACCCTTAAGCATTACCTCATCAGAGGGGTCGAGCGAAAGAAAAAAAGCCGTAATAATTCAGTTTTGCAGCTAAAAACACATTTGGGAGAGTTGTGGAAAGCCATTCTCGAAGAAAACTTTGTGTTTAGCTTCAAAAACACATTTGAGGTTGCTGCCTACACAAAACTGGAACAGGAATACAGTGAATGGTCACGCAGCTTTAAAAAACAGATGGATGTATGGGAACAGGCCGCTCAAAATATACTAAGGAGCTCTTTGATGGAGAATCTTCCAAATGAGTACCAAAAAAAACAACTTCAACTCCCCAAGTTTGTCAATGATGTGTACAAAGAATTGAAAGGGATGATGGATAAATACTTTGATGAAAGCTCAGAGAAAGAAACAATTGCAAAGTGGAAACATGAGACCGAAAGTGACCTTCAATACTTGAAGAAAAAACTGGAGAGGCATGCAGCTGAGACCTGTGACCAGCTGTTCAACTTTAGAAATAACCGCGCAAGAGCAGATTCAAAAATACAAAACATGTGTTCTGAGATAATGGAGCATGTGCAGTGTGTAGCATCCGGATTGGAAAAGGGACGACTTAATGAGCAACGACTCAGAAAGAGATTTGAACAGAGTTGGGTCAGATGGATAACGGATTTGACACCCAACATCGACGAAATAGAACCTCCAAATATAAAAAATGAAGTAGAGACTTGTGTTAGGGAATACCAGACCCTAAAAGCCTATCACAAGCATCTGTTGATTAAGCTTACACAACTTGATAGTAAAACGAGAAAACCGTTGCAATGGGGGGTTCATCTTACGCTGAAAATAAGGCCAGTTCATCTCAAGTCCTTGCAATACTGGTGGGTTCAGAGGAAATGGGTAGGAATAGATCGCTACATTCGTCCTGCTCAAGAAAAGACGGACAGTGTCTTCACAGAAGTTGACAAGTGGCTCACAAAAAAGCGAGATTCAGGAGACGACTTTAACCCAAATTACACATCGGAACTCCTTGACCTTCTATTCGACAAAATTGCAGAAGACCCATCTGATAGCTTTGATTATACACCAGAATATAGTGTAGAAATGGCTCTTACAGTCTGCGGCTATGGACAGAAGGTATTTGAAGAAATGAACAAAACGTTCCGTAAAAGGCATGATCCACTTGTTTACATTGAAACAGAATGAAAGGAAGAATGTTGGAAGCAGTTTAAAGATAACTACAATGACATTGAAAGGGAGAAGACCGCTGCTGAAACACTCTGCTCACATCTTAAAAAAGCAGTTCAAACGGAAGTTCTTCTGAAATTGGAAAGTGCTGTTTGTGAAAATATGCGAAATGAATTAACCTGGCTCAAAAGTAAGAAAAGGTTAAGGGCAAAGGTTCTCCATGATATTGGAGAAAAGCTTGAGCATGATCGCGTTCTGAGAGAACCATGCGAATTTGATCCATGTGCTCTTTACCTTAAAAATCCGTCACAAAGTCTTGAGTACTGGCTTGCTAGATACACAGATGAATACTGCAATAAAGGTACTCCTACAGTTGTGTCTAATATTGCCACAGAGAAATTGTTGCTTATATTGAATGAAGTAAGGACGGGTGCAGGTAAAGTCACGAAGTTGCTTGCGAGCACACCTCACCCAGTTCAAAAATCACCTCAGGTGACACAGGGCCAGTGTTACATCATTGATTGGTTAGATCAATTCCACAATGAGTTGAGGGGAAAACTAACAATGGATCTAACAAAACTACGTACAATGCTTGGAAATGATCCGATACTGAAAAGTGTCACATTTTTCGGAGATGAAGTAGTCAAAGGGCTTCAGAAACTGCATGAGCAATTAAAAGATGAATTCAGCTATCTATCTGCAGATGTATGGATTCGTCACAAGTTGGCAAAAAAACCATATGACACTCTATTTGAGGAGTTAGTTGGATGTACCGAGTTGTGTCCATTCTGCAAACAGCAATGTGACCACACAAATGCCAAACACCCAGTCTCGGTTCTGCATACCGTAAAACACCACCCAGGATGCCTTGGAGGATTTCGTCACGTACCTGACCAAAGAATGTGGCTGGATGTTTGCACTTTCTCAGTTGCCACAAATCACCGGTTTAGAAACAAAGATACCAACAATGAATTTTACCACTTTAGTGGGTACAAACATTTTTACCCAAATTGGGATATTCCTGGGGAAAAATCTCTTCCGGCATCAGAATTTAGGATATGGTTGGTTGGCAAATTCTCAAAGGAGATTGAAGCCTGCTTTGGCCTCAGTGATACTAAAATTTACGACGACTGGCAAGCGAGGACGTGGCCCCCTGTTAAACAAGCATTAAAGAAAGAATACAAAGAAAGTTGAGAGAACTGCGATAACTTTATATACAATATTATAAACAGTAGAATTGAATAATGTATATAGCAACTAGGTAAATATCACACTATAGTGTTGTTAAACTAAATTTGTTTCCCCCCTCCTTTATGTCGACTGTAGGCATATGTATATCGCTTGAATAGCATAAAGACGGTAGTAACAGCTCACGCTTTACTTACATACTATATAGAAAGAAGGAAGAGAAAGAAGCGTGAGAAGGGCTGCTGGGGCATGAAATTATAGTTCATAATGTACCAGCCATAGGTATATATAGATAGATAGATAGATAGAGAAATAAAAACCACCACCAATATATATCCACAAATCCCAAAATATCCATAAAAACACACACACAAATACACATGACATGACATGAGAGCAGCACACTGGGTGCCCAGCCTTGAGAACTGGGGCGGTGGGTTAAAGAATCTTTTATGGCTAGCCAACTCTCCCCACACACCCAGTATCCAAACTCCACATCACAAACAATGACAGCCACACAGGGAGTAACTGTACGATAGCACAGTCACGACAACACAAGTAGAGTATGACACATATAAATATTATTATTAATAGACGGTAGAAAAATGAAATAAGTAAAATTAAAGGTAAATTATGGCATGTATGGCTGGAGCATTGTCAGTCTGTAGATAGTAATGTTCGTATAAAGTTGTGTATACTTCAGTTGAGAATTATGGCTTGAAAAATAGAACAATGGCTGAAGTTGA